CAGCAGCTGGTGGTGAGTCAGATGCAAGCCAGGAGCCTGGGACAACCTCTGGGTCTCCCACGGGGGTACAGGGCTCCAAACCCCTTGGATCCATCTTCTGATGCTTTCCCAGATGCATTAGCAGAGAACTTAATAGGAAACACTCAGCCTTGTGGCATTCCCATATGCAATGTCAGTGTCATTGTGGCAGCTTAACCCACGGCACCAAAATGCCTGCCCTAGAGGACACATTCCGTGTCTTTTCTGTGGCCCTGAAAGGTGCTTGATAGAAAAAAAAAATGGTAAGTGTAAAATACAATATATTGTAATTAAATGCAATATAATCTCAGAAGGCCTGTGATTCTAATAGAACCAGTTGTAGTAACACAAATATAGATTATTAAAAATATTTAATGATTGATTGAATGATTTCTCTGAAATATCTGGGCCCTGCCCCTCATGAAGTGACCCCTGGTCTTGCTGTGGATTCTCCATCATGTGGTCACAAGGCTGCCTCTTCACTGCTCAGAGCCACTTCGAGATCAACCTAAGACCTTCCTTGGTCAACAGAGGATAGACAGCCCCCACATCCAGATCCCATATGCCAGTTTCTAATTTCTTGTATATCTTATCAGTTACTGAAATTTTCCAAGAACTTTCATTTATGTAGTAATTGTTTCTTGCGTGGTTGCCTCCCCTATGATCACCAGTGTGTCAGTAGGTGGTCTAATGCTTTTTCTAATTTCCTCAGGTATGCCTGCCTCTCACATAATGAATTTTGCTTGTATTGAAAACTCTAACACCAAAGGAAAAGAATTTGTTGTAAAATATTCCCTTGTCTTTTATACAAAAGGTAGGCTGCGTTGTATTCAAATCACTACAAAACTGTTTTCACAGCTGAAAAAGATCTATTGGAAAATGCAAAAGTTTACAAGAGTATCAAGAATCATGTTAAAATTAAATAGTTTTATGTAAAGTGCACAATTAGGATTTCTTGTGCTCTGCTGAGAGAATAACTTCATGGTGGATGGTCCTGATGGAGAGGATGGGGGAGTGAAATCTCTGACTGCAAAGGATGGTCTGAGGCAGGTGCCAGGCAGGCCTCCAACATTAAGAATCAATGACTCGCTGGCGCCGCGGCTCACTAGGCTAATCCTCCGCCTTGCGGCGCCGGCACACCAGGTTCTAGTCCCGGTCGGGGCGCCGGATTCTGTCCCGGTTGCCCCTCTTCCAGGCCAGCTCTCTGCTGTGGCCAGGGAGTGCAGTGGAGGATGGCCCAAGTGCTTGGGCCCTGCACCCCATGGGAGACCAGGAGAAGCACCTGGCTCCTGGCTCCTGCCATCGGATCAGCGCGGTGCGCCGGCCGCAGCGCGCCGGCCGCGGCGGCCATTGGAGGGTGAACCACAGGCAAAGGAAGACCTTTCTCTCTGTCTCTCTCTCTCACTGTCCACTCTGCCTGTCAAAAAAAAAAAAAAAAAAAAACACAAAGAATCAATGACTCTACATGAATTGAGATCTGGGCTCCTAGATTCCTCCTGACTCAACTCCAGATGTTATGGGCATTTGGGGAGTGAAGCAGCATCAGCAGGAACAATCTCTGCATGCCTCCGTCTCTCTGATTTTTAAATAAACAAAAATAAATTATTTCATAAACACTACAAATAGAATTACACTAGGCTCAGCAGTCCCACTCAAAGGCCTTGAGTTCCAAATGTCAAAGAGGTATATGCATTCCTGTGATTTCTGCATGTATCTGTATTAATGATATTATAGGGGGCCGGTGCTGTGGTGCACTAGGTTAACCCTTCACCTGCGGCGCCAGCATCCCATATGGGCGCTGGTTCGAGTCCCGGCTGCTCCTCTTCCAATCCAGCTCTCTGCTATGGCCTGGGAAGACAGTAGAAGATGGCCCAAGTGCTTGGGCCCTGCACCCACATGGGAGACCAGGAAGAAGCACCTGGCTCCTGGCTTCAGATCAGCACATCTCCAGCCATTGTGGCCATCTGGGGAGTGAACCAATGGAAGGAAGACCTTTCTCTCTGTCTCTCTCTCTCACTGTCTGTAACTCTACCTGTCAAATAATAAAATAAAACAAAAATCTAAAAAAGTGATATTATAGAATAAACCACTAATGTGTGAATGTTTTATGAAATTGTCACATATGTACTATACATATTTATGTAATGTTTGTCTGTATTTGAAGGAAACTGTGCCAACTGAAAGAAGAAAAGGCAGAAAGACACACCACAGACTTCCACAATTATGTGGAATCTAAAACACACAAATGTATAGTAGCAGAGAGGATGATGGTGGCTCCTGGAAGCTGAGGCTGGGCAGATTGGATAAGTATTGTTCAAAGATTATAAGGGTTCATTGAGATGAGGGTGGAGACAAACGTACAGTATTTAGGGTGATCAATGCATAAATCAACTTGATCTAATCTTTCCCCATTGTATACAAGCAGGGGTACAACAGAAGGATTGTAGAAAACAAAAATGAAAAGATAAGTATATTTAGGTGCAAAAATTCTGGAAATTCATTTATACTGAAGATTTCAAAAGGTCCATGAAAATATTAGGAAAAAATTAAACATAGAATCTCAAAAGTTTTGCATACAGTTAAGCTTCCCTTTTATAACCATGCATCCAAAACATTTTGAGGTTCCCCCAGCTGCCATAGCCTCACTTTTGACCCCACAAATATATACAACTGTAATTTGACAATATTCAATTTTAAAACTATCTGCTATAAAGCGGCACACTGGAGAGAATAAAAATTGAAATGTTCAGGCCATTCAGAAAGTATACAAAATAGTGAGGGATTCACCCACTTTGTCCCAGATACAACTATCCTATTCATGAAATTAATGAGCCACACACAGAACTTCAGGACCTCCAGTATACCTGGAAGGACAGAGATTGATTCAACATCAAAGTGGCTTGTGTGACATTTGGGTTTCCATAAAATCTTGAGGACAGCTGCACCTGTGCACAAGAGACTGAGAACACACCCTTGGCATCATTTTTTTTTTTTTTGCCATGATAAATGACTTGGTCCATTGCTACATAAGAATTTCCGGACTCTGGGCAAAATGCTCAGAATATTCTCAAAGATATTTTGGCAGAAACAAGGCTGACAGGAGAGTAAAGGATGTATGTGCAAGATATTAATCCCCATCTTTCATGTCTAGGGTTTTTTCAAAAATGTTTCCTTTTTTTAATCTACTTGAAAGGGAGGGAGGGAGGGAGGGAGGGAGAGAGATCATCCATCTGCTGGTTCACTCCCCAAAATAGCTGAGCCAGGCCCAAGTCAGGAGCCAGAAACTCCCTCCTGGATTCCCATGTGAAAGGCTGGGACTTAAGTACTGGGGTCATCTCCTGCTGCCTTCCAGGGTGCATTAGCAGGAAACTAGATTGGAAGCAGAATAGACTGGACTCTAACTGGCACTCTGATGTGGGATTCAGGCATCCCAAGAGGCACCCGAGCCCACTGTGCCACATGGTCCTCGCCCCTCCTCCACATCTTGCATTAGGTCTGCAGGAATGAACTTCACGCTGGTCGTCAGTCTCATCCCCTCGTGTGCGGCACCACGTTGGAAGTTCATGGAGAGGCAGTCTCCCCAGACAGCTGTGGGTGCAGAGAGCAGCAGCCATGGAGACTGGGCTGGTGGAAATTCGCATCAGCGAGCCTGAGCATGAACCTGCAAGACTGTGATTCGGGGACTCCCGAGAGAGCGGGGCAAGGGGACCTCTGAGGAGCATGCATTGGATCACAGTCTTGCTCAGTAATGATCCTTAGATGAGTATTCACTTGGGAAACATTTTCAAGTAAACCTTTTTTATTTCAAAGTAGTATTACATTTACAAAACAAAAATTGTAAAGTACTAAAAAAGTTCTCATACACCTCACACTCACCTTCCCCAATATTAACATGTTATATTATTATGATATATTTGTCACACTGATTGAATCTTTGCCCGTTTTTGTCAAGTCCAGTCATATCCCTTCCAACGTGACTTTTTCACTTTGCCTTCTTCTAAGACCTGACAATCTGCCAAAATAAACATTCCCCACTTCTTTGCAAGTTGACCACCAGATGTGACCCTTAGAGTTCACCCACTGCTGTGTTGCTGTTCTCCTAGGGTGTCCTTGACAATGGCAGTGATGTGACATCTGTCATCAATCAATCCATTATAGGAGAACTGCATCCTACAAAGCATCACATGGCCTGCATATATGTGGGATTTTCCTGGCATTCAATGACTATTTTTTTTTTATTTTTTTTTTTTTTGACAGGCAGAGTGGAAAGTGAGAGAGAGAGACAGAGAGAAAGGTCTTCCTTTTCCATTGATTCACCCCTCAATGGCCGCCGCGGCTGGCGCGCGGCGGACGGTGCACCGCACTGATCCAAAGGCAGGAGCCAGGTGCTTCTCCTGGTCTCCCATGGGGTGCAGGGCCCAAGTACTTGGGCCATCCTCCACTGCACTCCCGGGCCACAGCAGAGAGCTGGACTGGAAGAGGAGCCTCAATGACTAATTTTTTTAAGGGTAGGCAAAATCTTCATTCCTACCTGTTGGACTTACACAGAGTTACAAAAGCCTCTTAAGGGTATTCATTTCATTGGAATCCTTAAATAAAAATTATAAAGGAAATTCCTTCAGCAAGAGCAAGGACTTTGAGGTGAGCATCATGGCACGGAGGGTTAAGCCACTACCTGTGAGGGCTGCATCTTATATTGGAATGGCAGCTTGAGTCCCAGCTGCTCTGCTTCTGTTCCAGCTTCCTGCTAATGCAATCTGGAGGCACCAAAAGAGGGTGCAAGTTCTGGGGTCCTTTCCATCCTTCTGGAAGACCCAAATGAGTTCTGAGCTTCTGGCTTTGGGTCTAGGCCAGCCTGGCCTAATCTACCAAAACTCTCCAGGGACCTTCAAGCCTGGCTGCTCTGAGAATCACTCTCAGCAGATGGGGCCCAGGAGCAGCAGCTGGGAGCCCAGCCTCACACTTCTGCCCCCCTGGGTGGTTTATGTTCGGGCCTGTTGCACTGTGGGAGGGGTACTATATCCTTGCTGACAGTAATAAATTCCTGCATCTTCAGCCTGCACGCTGCTGATGGTGAGGGTGTAATCGGTCTCTGATCCGCTGCCACTGAACCTCGATGGGACCCCAGATTCTAAAGTGTTTGCCCCATAGATCAGGAGCTTAGGAGCTATCCCTAGTTTCTGCTGATACCAGTTTAACCCATAACCAATGTCCTCACTGGCCTTACAAGTGATGGTGACTGTGTCTCCCACAGATGCAGCCAGGGAGGATGGAGACTGGGTCATCTGGATGGCACCTCTGGCACCTGAGATGGGAAACAGAAACACACACATGCACACTGTTACTCACGTTATAAGAGGACTTCCCTGAAGAGTCAGGCAGCACTGCCCACACTGAGTCAGTCCCTGGAGTTGTTCCTCACCTGGGAGCCAGAGCAGCAGGAGCCCCAGGAGCTGAGCGGGCGCCCTTGTGTCCATGCTGGGTCCTGCCTGGGATCGACTCCTGCACAGGCTGTGAACAGCCTGGTGATAAGTCTGCAGGGCAGTGGGCAGGGCTCTGGGGACATGCAAATCAGCAGGGGATAACACCCAGACTGTGCCAGCTGCAGCTCTTCTCAGTCACTCAGAACAGGTGCAGTGCCCCCAGACGGCCCAGGACAACCCCGGACAGCACAAATTTGCCTGCATTGGCTGTGCATCTCTCTGGGGAACATTTTACTACAAAACACACAGTGGGAGTTTAATTGTCAAGGCTTGATATCAAGTCCTAATTGCAGCAATGTATTTCAGTGTTGTATTGGGATTATGTAGGAGGATACTTTTGTTTGTGGAAATGATGTAAGAAAGTCTTAGAGGGCAGAGCTGGCATTTGGTCAACATGTTTCCGGTGGAGAGGGATATACTTTGTTTTAACCTTACAGTTCTCTGAGTGTAAACTGATTTTTTTAAAAAAATAGCAAATTGAGAAACATATTCGAAAATATTTGGTAAAGTCCCTAAGCCACTGTTCTCATGTGAGGTGGGAAGGATCAGGATGAACTTCCAATGCAGCTCTCCTTTATTTCAGACCTGTGGAGGGCAGTGGGATTCCCCCCAGTGCAGCTTGCAGTTGACAGGGGTCTCAGAGGTGTAACCCAGGCACACTTGGCCCTATACCTGCAACCAGTTTCCCTGAGTTCTCCAACAGATGCAGAAAATTTGCTGTGCTGCTCCCAGACACAAACAACACATGTGGGCCCCTGGGCCGTGCCAAACGGGGAGGTTTGCATTTGGGGCTGTGCCACTGTGGGAGGGTATTGTATAGTTTGCTGGCTGTTAGAAACTCCAGCATCCCCCGCCTCCACCCTGCCGGTCGTCAGTGTGAAATCTACCCCTGACCCACTACCACTGAGCCTGTTTGGAACTGCAGAGGAAGCCCCGTGCATCAGTAGCTGTGCAGACTGGTCTGGCCTCTTGAGACTCCAACTCAAAGAGGTGTATCTATAACTACCTGGGAGGCTCTGATTGGACTTGGCAGGAGATAGAGGCGGGCTCTCCAGGGGTGATGGACATGGAGAGCGGTATCTGGATCATCACAATACTTCCACTGCATCCTGAAATAATGAGAAACAAGTGCCACGCTGTGCACTGTTCTTGTGATTGTTCTAGCTTTCTAAGTCAATTTTTGACCTTGGTTCATGTTAGGAAAAGAGTTGCAGATTGGTGCCTCCTCACACGGGGCACCAAAATGTTAGGTAAAGAGGTGCAGAATAGAGAGGAGGTGGTGTATGCATTTACAGCCAGACTGAATTTATTCAGAGAAAATAAATCTGCAGAGGTGGGTGACCAACTGCCCGTGTGCCCATGATGGAACACGTGGCAGAAGGCCTCAACCCCAGGGGCCAGGTCTTTGTTATATATAGGAGGGCTGGGGATGGGGGTGGGGTAGGGAGCAGCAGGCAGAGGGGAATTCCTGCAACTGGTCTTTCAGGTGGCTGTAAGGGGTGGGGTATGAAGGCAATAGGGTGTGAGACCCAACTGAGTTTCAAGGGCAAGGAATGCATTCCAGTGTTTATCTCCTTTGGGCAATGAGGGAGAATGGCTGAGGCTTATGTCCTTGTTCCATCAGTTCATACTCTTAAAAATATCAGAAAAGAGGTTTGCAAGGCTCAAAGTGACCCTTGGAGTCCCTAGCACCACACCTCTCTGAACTAGACCTGTCGCTATGGCACAGGTTCTTGTCCTTTGGGAATCTTTTCTTTTATTTATTTATTTGAAAGGCAGTGTGTGTGTGTGGTGTGTGTGTGTGTGTGTGAGAGAGAGAGAGAGAGAGAGAGAGTCAGTCTTCCATCTACTGGTTCATTCCTCAGAGGGCCACAACAGCAGGAGCTGGGCTGGGCACAGGAGCCAGGAGCTTCCTCCAGGTCTCCCATGTGGGTGCAAAGACCCAAGCACTTGAGCCATCTTCTGCTGCTTTCCCAGGCACCTTAGTAGGGAGCTGGATTGGAAGTGGAGCAGCGGGACTCAAACTAGTGCCCATATGGGATGCCAGCGCTGCAAGCCATGGCTTAACCTGTTGCACCACAGCACCAGATCCAGATAAATAAATCTTCTCTTCTTTTTTTTTAACTTTTATTTAATGAATATAAATTTCCAAAGTACGGCTTATGGATTACAATGGCTTCCCCCCCATACCGTCCCTCCCACCCGCAACCCTCCCCTTTCCCACTCCCTCTCCCCTTCCATTCACATCAAGATTCATTTTCGTAAATCTTCTCTTCTTAAAAAAAAATGAGTAAATCTTTGGGGGAAAAAAAAGGATGAGAGTATAGAGTTCAACACAGAGCAAATCCCAAAGTCTTCGGTAAATGCCGGCTGCAGGGTGGCAGCGGTTCCGGTTCATGGCTAGGATTAAGCGGTGCCGGCAGCAGTAGTAGAGGGAGCAGTGTGTATTTCCGTGGAGACAGGCTCCTGTTTTGGGCCCAGCTCTCTGCCTTTGAAAACTCTTCTCAGAGCGTCTCTCAGAGAACGCATTTAAAGACCATGCTATGAAGGAGTTCTTTGCGTGCCTGATGCAGAAACCATCAAATCGCAGGTTTGGGGAGGGGTTGTTGTCAAGAAAACACTTCGTGAAAAAACCTCTCTCACAGGCCTTTATCTTAGAGCCCTGCCAACCTCCACCACCTCCAGCCCCAAATAGGTCCCGTTCCTGTGCACGCACCCCTGGCAGGGAGTGCAACTACTAAACCACAGACCTGCGACACAGGCAGCCCCAGAGCTGGTCTCTGCCCGGGGCTGTGCCGCCGTGGGAGGGATTGCGTAGCCCTACGTAGCCCTACCGGCAGTAATAACCAGCGGTATCATCAGCCTCCGCCCCTCTGACTGGGAGAACCAACTCTGCTCCAGACTGAACCCCCGTGGAGCGGGCTGGGACACCCGGATATCGGTTATCAGCATCAGAGATGAGACTCTCAGCAGTGTGGCCTGGCTTCCACTGATACCAAGTGAGGTGATCACTGATGCTCCGGTCGGCCCGCAGAAGATGGGGATGGTCTCTCCTGGAGACAGACAGGAAGGCCAGAGACTGGCTCAGTGCAACGTCACTGCGGCTGGCCACAAAGGAAGCCAAAGACAATGTCCCCTCATTAGCACTGTCCTAAGAGGAGGCACTCTCTTGCTGCCCTGATCCCCTGAGAAGGCTAGAGATCAGGGAAGGAGCTCAGGTTAGGAGAAGAGAATCCCAGCAACCCAGGTGCTGCCTGCGCCTGCTCCTGACCTGGGTGCCAGAGCAGCGGACGGCAGAAGAGCTGAGTCAGGACATCCATGTTCAGGCTAAGCCCTGCCTGAGGCTCTCTGTGCCCAGATTCACTGAGCAGCCGATCCACGAGGAATCCCAAGAGCAGAAACAGATTCTGGGGGAAATATGCAAATCAGCCAGGGTCTGGGCAGGTGTGGCCCAACAGCTGTAGAACAGGTGTCCTGGAGGGCTCAGTTCCTCCCAGCAACCCCCCTCCCGGCCTTGGTGAGATAGAACCGCCTCTACTGATGAGTCTCTGCCTCATTTTAATTTCTTTTTTTAATTTTTAATTTTTTTAAATTTATTTGACAGGTAAAGTTATAGACAGTGAGAGAGAGAGACAAAGAGAAAGGGCTTCCCTCCTTTGGTTCACTCCCCAATGGCTGCTACAGCCGGCGCTGATGTGAAGCCAGGAGCCAGGTGCTTCCTCCTGGTCTCCCATGTGGATGCAGGGCCTAAGCACTTGGGCCATCCTCCACTGCCCTCCAGGGCCACAGCAGAGAGCTGGACTGGAAGAGGAGCAACCGGGACTAGAACCCAGCACCCAAATGGGATGTCAGTGCAGCAGGCGGAGGATTAACCAAGTGAGCCATGGCGCCAGCCCCTCATTTTAATTTCTGATTCTCATTTGTCTTCAGGACCCCAGAATCTGCAGGTAGGCCACAGGTCCTCCTGCTAAGAATGAAGAAACAAGGTGGATGACCTTTGACCTCCCAAAGCTTAAACTTTCATAGGAACACAAAAGCTTTCCTCTAGAATTACAAGGACTATCATCCTCACGGGATGGGCATGACATATTTGTTCTGTCTGGATAAACTGTTAGAAGAGATACTGTGAGCAATGGGTGGAGGGCATCTTTGCAGCAAATGCATGCCTGCTCTTCAGGCCCTGTGCAACGGAGATCATAGTTCCTTGGAATATATTTCCACAGGGCCCTGTCTTGCACCATCTTCTATTGCTTTCCCAGAAGCACCAGCAAGGAGCTGGATTGGAAATAGAGCAGCCAGGACTCGAACCTGCGCCCATATGGTGATGGTGACAGAGAGAAGGTGTGTGGTTGGGGGAATGGGGGAAAGAAAGAGAAAGATCTTCCATTTGCTGATTCACTCCCCAAATGAGTGCAACAACAGGGGTTGGGCCAGGCTGAAGTGAGGAGCCTAAAACTCCATCTGAGTGTCCCATGTGGGTGGCAGGGAGCTGGATCAGAAACAGATCAGCCAAAACTCAAATTGGCATCCTGACGTGGGATGCCTACATTGCAAGATGCAGCTTAAGCCACCGCACCACAACATTGGCCTCTCCTGTCACTTCTTTGAGTTTTCCCTCAGCCAATGTCCTGGAAATGTGGTCTTTCTATTGCTCTGGTTCTTCTCTGTGGCAGAGGCAAGTTCAGGGCCCTCCTAGTCAACCATCTTGAAGCTCCTTGGATAATTATTTTATTTAAAGATTTATTTATTTATTTATTTATTTATTTGAAAAGAGAGAGAGACAGAGAGGCAGAGAGAGACAGAGAGAGCAAGGCAGATCTTCCATCCACTGGTTCACTCCCCAGATGGCCACAATGGCTGGAGCTGGGCCAATCCCAAACCACCAGATGAAGCTCCTGGCTCTTGGCTTCAGGCTGGCCACCCCCTGGCTATTGCAGCCATCTGGGGAGTGAGCCAGTGGGTTGGATTTCTCTTTCTTTCTCTCTCTCTCTCTCTCTCTCTCTCTCTCTCTCAGCATTGTTATACACAGTGATCTTGCTGAAAGGGAAATAAACAAAGCAACCTCGTTCACAATAGCTACAAAAAATTTTAGCAATAAATTCACCAAAGAAGTGAAAAATCCCTATAATGAAAACTATTTTTTAAATAATGAAAAAGCTCCAAGAAAACCCTCAAAACAAAAGATATTCCTTGTTCAAGGATTGGCAAAATTAATATTGTTAAAATTTTCATATTACCTGAAACAATCTACTGATTCAGTGCAGTCCCCATCAAAATATCATTCTTTTCAGAAATAAGAAAAACAATCCTAAAATACATATGGAAATGACCAAAAGATGGAACAGTTAAAATGATTCAGAACAAAATTAAATAAAAATACAAAGCTGGAGGCATCAAAATCCCTGACTTTCAAGAACACTACAAAGTTATAGTTGTTAGAATAGCATTGTACTAGAATAAAAGCCAACATATAGATCAATTAAGCTGAATAGAGAACCCAGAATTAATTCACAGTCACAGAGTCAACTGATTTTTTACAAAGTTGCCAAGAATATACATTGGAGAAAGGAGAGTTTCTTCAATAAATAGTACTGGGAAAACTGGGCAGTCTAGTAGAAAAATGAAACTCCCCACCTCTCACCATATACAAAAGTCAACTCGAGATGGATCAAAGACTAGATGTAAGACGTGAAACTACTAGGAAGGAAACACTTCAAGACATCAACGAGGGCAATGATTTTATAGATAACTCCCTAACAATACAGGCAACAAAAACCAAACTGAACAAATGGGATTTTATCAAAACAAAAGGTTTTGCATAGCAAAGAAAACAACCTACAGAGTAACATATGATAGAATGAGATAAAAATATTTGCAAGCTTTTAAATCCAATAAATGATTAAGATTCAGAAAATATAAGGAACTCAAAAAACTCAACAATAACAAACAGCAACCAATACAGTTAATAAACAAACCAAGGAACTGAACGGACATTTTTCAAAAAAAAAGAAGGAAGAGAAGTGCAAATAGTCAATAAGTTCATGAAAAAATGCTCAAAATCACTACCCATCAGTCAACGCAAATCAAAACCACAGTGAGATATCTCCTCACTCCACTTAGAATGGCTATTATCAAAAAGAAAAAGACAAAACCTGGGACCAGCACTGTGGCATAGCGGGTAAAGTTGCACCTACAGTGCCAGCATCCCATATAGCTGCTGGTTCAAGTCCCAGCTGCTCCTTTTCCAATCCAGCTCTCTGCTATGGCCTGGGAAAGCAGTGAAAGATGGACCAAATCCTTGGGCCCCTGCACCTGCATGGGCAACCTGGAAGAAGCTCCTGGCTTTGGATCGGCCCAGCTCCAGCCATTGCAGACATCTGGGGAGTGAGTCAGTGGATGGAAGACTTCTTCTCTCTCTCCCTCTCTCTCCCTCTCTCTCTCTCTCTCTCTGCCTCTGCCTCTCTGTAACTCTGCCTTTCAAATAACTAAAATAAATCTAAAACAATGACAAAAGCTGGCAGGATGTAGAAAGAGGGGAACTCATACACTGTTGGTAGGAATGTGAATTAGTACTGGCAATATGGAAAACAGTATGGAGATTCCTTTAACAACTAGAAATGGAACTGCCATATCATCCAACAGTCTCACTGCTAGCTATGAATCCAAAAAGACATAAAATCACTAAATCAAGGCCACACCAGCAGCACCAAGTTTACCACAGTGCTGTTCACAACAGCAAAGATGTGGAATCAGCCAAGGTGCCCGTCAGCAGTTGAACGGAAATATACACTGTAGTATATATAGCCAACGGAATACTATTCTGCCATAAAGAAGAACGAAATTCTGTCATTTGCAGCAAAATGGATGGAACTAGAGGACACTATGTTAAGTGAGATTTAAAAGAGACACAAAAATCCAAATACTGCATGTTCTCCCTCATAAGTGGAAGCTAAAAAGTATCTCAATATGAATATAGAATTGTAATCAGTGGAGGTTGGGAGAGTTACAGGCAATACTTGGGTTGAACAACGGTGCCCAGACAGCATTAGGAGGATAAGTTCCTGGTGTACACAGCATATGGGGTGACTGTGGTTCCCAGTGACCTATCATATATTTGATGAGCAAGTAGAATACAAGAGCGATCAGGCTCCGACCATAAAATAATGACAGAGGGGAAAGTGTTAATTAACCTGATTTGATCAGTACACATGATACACATGAATTAAAACATTAAAATGTATGCCATAAATATGTAAATTATTAAAGTTTTTTAAAGTTAATAAATAATAAAATTGCCACAAAAAAGGAATCATAGAATCCAAGAAATGATGGAAACTTGTCCAATAGCCAATCAGATGATGTCATAAACAAATTGAGTTTCTCTGTTTTGAGTTCACTGTTTTGATTTGGTACTGGGCTTTTATACTTGCCAAAATTTCAGACTCTCAGGTACTCTAGTGTTGTTTATTAACTATCTTTCCTTGTTTTTGGCATTAAATATGTTCTTGTCAGCCCCCAAATTTAATTTCCTTTTAAATGAAAGGCTATGGGATTGTAAATAGTATTATTCTTATACTTTTAGGTATATACAAATTTTAAAAGGTACACCTTAAAGAAAAATATTCAATCACAATTGTCCTGCATTTCTACCCATATTTTGTTTCCTAGTATGTATTAAATTACTTTATTATTCCTAAGGGTTTGACATCATGGTTATCATTTTAAAATCAATAAATTTATAATACATTTATATTTTTAAAAGTAATTATCAAAATTATGTCACAATGAGATGTGACTTATTTCGCTTTTAAATCTCTTCTCTGTGTAGTAATGAAAACGTAGGATTGTGTAGGGATTTAGGGAACAAGAGCCTAACTCAGGTCTCATGCGTGGGAGGGCCTCGTCTCTGAGTTGGGCCCTGGAGCGGTTGCCTAACCAGCCCGTTGACACCAGGAATTCACAACATGATTGGTCGCCAGACACTCCGTGGAGAAAGCAAAGTCTGGGACCCGTCACTGTCACTGTCACCACGGCATAGACATCGGGGAACTGCAGAGAACGGACCCTCGTGGTACAGAGGAGGTTGGAGCAGCGGGGAGGGTCCCGTGGGGTGGCTGACTCTGCTGGGTGCTGTGGGCGCTACAGCCTTGCCCACTGCTTCCCCCTCCATGAGCAGGATTGTGGCTGAGGACACTGAGGACGGGGAATGCTGGGACCTGACCCGCCACCCTCCCACGCGGCCAGCGGCTTGTGGGCCTGGTCTCTCGCCGGGACTGACGACAGAAGCTGTGCTGTCTTATGCCCCCGACACACACACACAACATCTTTTTGTTGACCATCTCTCCTCTGCATCCTGATACTCGGATACTTGTTTGTGAGATTTCTTCTGAGTGACCAAGGTTCTGCCTGTGTTCCACATCTGCTTCTCCTGATTGTCTCTCTCTCCTCCGAAAGGAGAGAGCCAGTGCGCCCCACCACTGAGGGGCTCAATCCAAAGACTCCAGCCTAGAGTTTTCTTTACCACATTTGAGTTGCTTTCTGTTTCTTTGTCATTTTCTTAGCAAGGAAATAAAATATCTTCCCCCCTCCAATATTTAGCGATCAAAAAATGTCATGTTAATCACATTGATTGTCTTCAGAATTATTAATGAACACAAAAACTGGCTTTAAGAGATCAAACTGGTTTGTTCAGGAAGTGAGGCCGCACCACTGTCCCTATCAGTACCAGTGCCTCTCACAGAATTGCTGTGCCCAATCCTCCTGCGTGGTTTTGCCACTCACTGCCTTCTGAAAATCAGGGTTTCTCACTGAAATCCCGGGTGACATTCTGGATGGCCGTGGGTACATTTCACGACATCTCTGTCTCGGTATCACCAACTGGAAGTTGGGAATAAAACATACTTCTCCTGTGAAGACCTAGCCCAGGTCACGGCCCAGTGATAACTTTTCACTTTTATGGCACCCACTCTCATCTTTTTGTTGTTCATTTTACAATTTCAGACAATATGACACACTTGAAAGCATCGCCATGTGGCCCAACTGTCAGGAATGGCATCTATTTCCTTGTGTTTTAATTGATCGACAGGTGCTCTGCGGAGTTACTTGGCCAACAGAATGTGCTGAAAGTAGCACCGTGCCCCGTCATCCAGGTCGAAGAGGCACTGCAGCCACCACCCTCCTCTCTGGAAATGGGAAATCCTGACGCAGTCTATTGGAGAAAGGGGCCATGTGCAGGAGACTAGAGTAGCCAGGCAACAGCCAGACCAACCGCCAACACTTCAGTAAAGTCATCCGCCCATCAAGGCGGTGGGCGGGGGGCTTGGGGAGCAATGGGCACGGTCATTTCTGTAGGAAGATGTTATGTTACCTCTGATAAGGTTCAGAATTGCCAGCACAATAATAACATTAGAAAATTACTCACTTAAAATTGTGAGTGTGCATTTGGCCTAGCAACAAAGACACTTGTATCCCTTATCAAGGTACGTGGATTCAATTCCCAGATCAGGGTCCCAATGTCAGCGTAGACCATGGGAGTGATGGCTCAAACGGTTAAGTCATACCAGCCATGTGGGAGACCTGGATGGAGTTCCTGGCTCCAGACCCGTCCAGCCCTGGCCACTGAAAGCATTTGGGAAGTAAACCGAGAAACAGGAGCATCAACTACCCCCCAACACACACCTCTCAAATGAATTTCCCCCCACAGGTAGAATAACATTTTAATAATCCCAATTAATTTCACTGGTTTTACATTGCCAGGAGCACAACACATTCATCATAAGTGTTTGTTGGATGAAGAGCTGGACAATACCTTAGACAAGCCCTTATAGTATTAGGTTCCAAATTCTGGCCAGGCATATGGTAGCAAGGATGGAATGTATCCAGTAGCTAATTAATTTTCATAAACAGCATAAACATGATACAGACAATTCATCCAAAAATGCTAGATGTTGAGGTGCAACGCACCCACCTCTTCTCCAACTGGCGCGCCTCAGCTGACGGCCAGCACCAAGCGGCAGACAGGTGGGGGAAGCCAAGGTGAGCATCCCCGCCCAGCAGACCCGGCTGCGTGAGGCTGCACCAGTGATGCCCGGCCTGGCCACAGAGTCACACACAAGAAAGAACGAGTTGTGGCTGCAGTCCTGTAAGTGCTGGGGTGCTCTGGGAACGTGCAATAAATAAAACAAGCGACGGCATTTGTCCAGACCACAGAGTGGCGCTCACGCCCTTCCCTCTTTGCCTTTGCGAAGACTCAGTTCAAATGTAAGGCAATTTCCTCCTCCTTCCCCTGCTGCTCCAGAACAGGAAGCGGACTCTAGGCTCCTGCCACACGGCCCCTTCACGCCTCTCGGATTGTGCCTTCTGCAAGGAACAGGTGTCTTTGCACCAGAGCAGGCGACTTCTTTGTTTTTGTTCGGGGATCTGTCACTGTGAGAGGTCGGCTGAAGTGCTGCTGACAGTAAAACACCCCGACGTCTTCAGCTTCCACTCCATGGATAGCGAGAGAGAAGTCAAACCCGGAGCCACTTGCCCGGAACCTGGAAGGGGTCCCAGCAGCCCTGGAAGAAGCTCCAAAGATGAGCAGCCTGGGCGCCTGCTCCGGTTTCTGTTGGTACCAGGCCATGGAGGTACCTACCTGCATGTTGGCTCTGCAGGTGATGGTGACAAAGTCGCCTAGTGATGCTTCCAGGACCGCCGGCGACTGAGTCAGCATAATGTTCCCCATGCAGTCTGCAAGGACACCGCATCCAGACAGCGCGGTTCATTACTTCCCGCCAGGGATGAGAAAAAACCCTCCCCTGCCCTCCCCTCTCCTCCCCTGCCCTCCCCTCTCCTCCCCACACCCCGTTCCCTAAAAGAACCCTAGTAGCCTTCCCAGCTTGGTCTGTGTACAAGAATGCTGATGGAAATGGCCATCCTCTGTGAGGGGGGACACAGCACGGTGCAGCCCCACGCCGAGAGGCTGAGGGGCAAGTCCCTTCTCCGTATACTGAGTGGGAAGCTAGTGAGCCTCTAAGAGAGGAGTGGACCCAGGTAGAAGCACAGACAGAGTGTTCTGTGGTCCTTGAGGGGTCCTTGTCAGCCTTAGATCCTACGCCCTAGCTTCCTAATAAGAAGCAAATCCAAACAAGGCTACACGTGTCACGGTCATTTCCAAATCACCTTTGAACCTGAGTTCTGTGTCAGGGACGAGTTCCAGCTCCTGGTCTGCAGTGGGGAATGGCCTTACCCTGAAAGGTTATCACCAGGAGGCAGAGGAGCTGCGCCAGGAGTCTCATCTTGCCGTCTCCACGGAGTCTGCTCCTTCTTGATCTAACAGCCAGTTGTGTGGTGTCAGGCGGTGACTCTCTGTCAGGGCTACACAGCAACTGAGGCACACACCCCCTGGGTGACATAGACACAGGTGTCCTGGGAGTTGATTTGCATGTCTGATGGCCTGAACCAAAACCCCAGGGCTGCACCCAGGGCTGACAGGCTCACTCCACCTGCAGCTCGAAGGCGATGATGGAAGCGATGCCCGTGCCTGTGGCCCCACAGGAGCTGAGAGTGCACGGAGGGGAGCCAGTGAGGCTGGGAGGGAGGTCACCCCAGATCCAGGCAGAGGTCCGCAGAGTGGTCACTTGACATTGGATTCTTATGTGAACAGTGGGAGGGGGGTATTGGTTTCTACTCTAACCGGATGCCATGTTATCTATTGGTCTAAGCCCACACCAGCCCAGGAGAGAGAAACCAACCTACCTCATCTGGAGCCTTCAGGGTCCCACCGGCCGCCTTTGATGCTGGAATTTGGGAGGAGACAGTCCTTGAGGCCCTGCGACTTGCCCTGGAAGGGATGATACAGGAGGTAGGTAGGAAAGTGGATTTTCCCAACAGCCCTCAAGAGTGGCTGAGGCCAGGTGAGGCCAGGTAAGACCAGGCGAGGCACAGGTAAGTGACTATGTGATTGTTGTGTCCAAAAGGAGACACTTGGATTTTGCATTCCAAAATGAGAGATTTCTCCATTCGAGTCAAAGAATGACTTGATCACTGATTCTCATACAGAACTTTGTAAGACACTTCAAATTAACCCAGGATCGTAACTAAGGAAACATAAACAAAATGAAAGTCATTTCCATCCTTGGGGCAACTTTGTCACGTTGCTCAGCCCATCCCAAATATCCCTCTGCAGTGCATGGAAAGCGTTAAAAACAGGAGGCAAAAGTGGCTCCCATGTGAGCCTGGGACCAGCTTTGCCCTCTGTGTGGGTGAGGCTCACAGGCCCCGAAGGCGATCAGAGCGCCACGACTTGTCTCTGCAGAGACAGCTTGTCCCTGGCTGGGGAGGGACCTTTGTTGACTCAGCCCTCCCCTCTGCAGGGTGCTGGAGACAGAGCAGGTCCGTGAGGAAACCCTGAGGACGTTCCTATGGGAGCAACCCTAGGTGTGGACAAGGTGGATGGTGGACACACAGGGAAATGAAGTGATTTGTGTGCACATGGTGGGAGGTAGAGGAGAAAGAGAGAGAGAGAGAGAGAGAGAGAGAGAGAGACTGTGCTTTGTCCTTTAACAGCTTAGTAGACTAAGCATTGCTACAGGTGGAAGCTACAAAATGTACTTAATAATGAGAGGGCCTTTGCAGATGTTAACTAAGGATCTTACCCAACTAGGCCCTAAATGCAATCCACATGCCATGACAAATGTCCTCATGAGAGAGTCGGAGGGAGATCTAACACAGACAGAAGAGCAAAAGGCCCTGAAAACAAGGAAACAGAGCGGAGTGACACAGCCACAGCCAAGGGAAGAAGCCAGGAACAGACTCTCCACTAGAGGGAGCCCTTCCCACCAACGTCAGTTCCTGGGCTGCTGGCCTGCGCAACTGGGAGAGAATGTGTGTCTCCTGTTTGAATCGGCCAAATGTTTGGAAATTTGTTACAGCAGCCCTAGGAAGCTAACATAAATGGGGCTTAGGGAAAAGCCAAGCCAAAAGGCATGGTCATTTACACCTCTCTTCGTTCAACTTTCCAATGTTGCATATAAATGGATTCGTGAGATTTTTTTGAATGGCTAAGTCCTCAAACACCACGCAGGCGCCACCTCCAACGTCCTAGCCCTTACTATGTTTAGTTGCTCATGGTCTCTTTCACTGAATACGTTTTCACACCTGTCGCTGAGATGCTGATATGCCTGGAATCTCTCTTCGGTCCCCTTCTCATTCTTTTTTTTTTTTTTTTTTAAGATTTTATTTATTTATTTGAGAGATAGAGAGAAAGGTCTTCCATCCGCTGGTTCACTTCCCAAATGGCCAAAACTGCCCGAGCTGAGCCAATCTGAAGTCAAGAGCTTCTTCCGGGTCTCCCACATGGGTGCTGGAGCCCAAGCACTTGGGCCATCTACTACTGCTTTCCCAGGCCACAGCAGAGAGCTGGATCAGAAGTGGAGCAGCCGGGTCTCGAACCTGCGCCCATATGGGATGCCAGCACTGCAGGCGGAGGATTAACCTACTGCACCACAGCGCCGGCCCCATCCTCTTCTCCTTCTTGCTTGTCTTAAGTTGCTGACAGACTGTGTGAAAAATTGCCTGCTTGTGGAGCGTGGTGATTATCTGGCCACGCATCTATTAGGAACTCTGTGTAGGAGTTCCTGGGTTTCTGCTCCTCAGAAATTAAACTCAGGCTGCGGGTCTCAGAGAAAATTGTATTTTGGAGGAACATCTCCCATTGTGATCAAGTAGAAATACAGGCGCTTTTCAGTTTACTCAGGTCCAAATCAAGAAGTCCCTGGCTCCTGGCTGCTGCGGCCATTTGGGGAGTGAACCACTGCTGTCACATTGATTTCCAAAATAACTAAGTAGTTAATTAATTATTAATTAATAAACAACTAATTAATTTAAAAACAATGAGATCCGTGGGGCAGACGGCCGTTTCAATACATCACCACCCAGCCACACAGAAGTGGCGAGTTTGGAGGCCAGAGAAATGGATGAACACCCTGCCCCTGAGACCCCGCCCTCTGCAGCCCCAGGGACAGCAGGCAGCAGGAAGTAGCCCCTACTACGGCTTCCTCATCGGCGGCCCCAGGGTTTGAGGCGCGAGGTCATTGTCCACGGGGCCTTCTGCCCGTGGCAACTGTCACGGTAGCGTGGACGTGAGGGACCCCGTGAGGTACCGGAGGAGAAATGGGTCAGGGAGGTGCCGAGAAGACGGCGCACCTTCCAGAGCAGCACCCTGCTGGCCTGATGCTCAGGTTGCTAGCGAGGAAGGACCCCTGCCCACACGGCCCCAGGAGGGTGGTGACCAGGAGCGGCTGCAGCAGCAAGGGCAGGGTGGGGCCGGGAGCCGTGAGGGCATCAGGAAACCAGGGTTCTATTCTAAGCTCAGTGTGTAACGTCTCTGTGGTAAGCCACTTCCCACTTATAAATCTAGGGTTTTTTTTTTTCCTTTACAAATGAGGAAACTGAACTGCGTAATCTCCAAGATTCCTCTCAGTTCTCCAACTACGGGGACTACAAGTATAAATTAAGCAACGTTAGCTGTGTTGATTGCGAAAGCTGCTGTTATCCATTTTAGCCACCAGAGAGAGACGTGCGATCGTGGTATGGCTAAGGTTTTTTCTGTCTCGCTTTAATTTTCCTGATGGCCGCTAGGGGGCACTCCTGCCCCACACTTAAGCTAAACCAGGCCAACAAAGACTTCTTAATATTTCTCCATTTTCTTCCACCTGTGATTAATAGAGAAAGTCAGTGGAAGGTCACTTTTTCCAATTTAATAATAACTTATCCAGAAATGTAATAAGTGCAGTTCTTGGTACCTCCTAGAACGTATTTAGCCGAGAATGTTCAAAATAAAAAAAATCACCTCTTAGGAGCAGGCACTTAGCCTAGAGGTGAAGAAGCCCATGAAGATGCCTGCATCCCACGTGGGAATATTGGGGTTCAGTGCCCAGCCCCAGCTCCTGACTCCAGCTTCCTGCTAATGCAGACTGTGGGAGGCAGAGGCAGATGGGATCTCATCAACCCCTCAGCTCTGCCCCAACCAGAATCCACAACAGACTTGCACGACTCGTGACGCCTCCGCCCCTCAAGACTTCTCTCTCCAAGCTGACAGCCAGCATCAGCCTCTGCGTTCAGGGAATCTTCAGGGACCACATCGCAGGCCAGCCCCTGAGATGTGGAATGAGCAGAGCTCCAAGTCCCTGGCAGGGCAGCCGTCCTGTGCCAGGTGCTCTGACCAAGGGCACAGGGCTGCGGGCAGCCCTGACTGGGGGCGCTTTTCGAGGAAGGACGGTTGCAGAAGTGGCTTCTGGACCGGGAGCAAGCGGGGCAAAAGAGGGCGGCGGTGGCAGGTGGAGCTGGGCGGGGGGAGGGCAGTGTTTCCAGGGAGGCCCGACAGGGGTGTGCAGAGGCCCAGAGGGTAGGAGCCGGCACCCCGCTACGCTGCAAAGCCTGCCCTGTGGGGGCCGCTCCACCCATGAGCTGTTCGGACAAACGATGTCCTACTGCGATTTATATTCCCTCAGGGTCTGGCCTGAACACCCAGCCCAGCATGCAGAACACAATGGGCCAGAAGGAAGTTTGGTTGGATGAGTGAATAAAAGAACACAGTGACATCCACGCCGTCTGCTGAGCTCTGAGCAGAGCGGCCATGCATCTGCCTCAGTTTAAATACAGCTCTTCAGGGGCTGGCGCAGTGGCCTAGCAGGTGGAGCCTCTGCCTGCAGTGCACACATCCCATGTGGGTGCCAGTTGGAGGCCTGAACACTCTACTTCAGATCTGGCTCCCTGCTAATGGCCTGGGAAAGCAGAAGAAGATGCCCCGAATATTTGGGTCCCTGCATCCCAATGGGAAAACCAGAAGTTCTGGGCTCCTGGCTTCTGGCTTTGGCATGGCCCAGCCCTAGCAGTTGTGGCCATCTGGGGAGTGAACCAGCAGATGGAAGATCTCTCTCTCTCTCTGTTTCTCCCTCTATCTCTAACTCTGCCTTTCAAATAAATTAAGTGAATCTTTAAAACAAAACCTGCTGTGCCACAACACCAGCCCATCAAATAGCTCATTTTTTTAAAAAAGACTTATTTATTTATCTGAAAGTCAGAATTACATGTAGAGAGGAGAGGCAGAGAGAGAGAGAGAGAGAGAGAGAGAGGTCTTCCACCCACTGGTTCACTCCCCAGTTGGCCGCAATGGCCGGAGCTGTGCCGATTCAAAGCCAGGAGCCAGGAGCCAGGAGTTTTTTCTGGGTCTCCCATGCAGGTGCAGGGGCCCAAGGACTTGGGCCATCTTCTACTGCTTTCCCAGGCCATAGCAGAGAGCTGGGTCAGAAATAGAACAGCCGGGACTAGAACCGATGCCCATATGGGATGCCAGTGCTTCAGGCCAGGGTGTTAACCCACTGTGCCACAGCACC